TTCTTGTGTCCTATGAATCCCAAAACTTTTTAATTTTTAGGAAGCCCTACTTACATTATTTTGTCTTGGTTGCCTTTTTTTGGTATCATATTTATTAAAAAAACCTAATTCAAAGTCACAAAGATTTACTCCTATATGTCCTTCTAAAATACATGGTTTAAGCACTTACATTTAGGTCTTTGATCTATTTTGTGTTCATTTTTGTAGATGGTGGAAGGTGGAGATCCAACTTCACTGTTTGCCTGTGAACATCCACCTGACCTAGAAGCATTTGTTGAAAAGATTCTTCCCCTCCACCACTTCCCCCAATGAACTGTGTTGATGTCCTCATTAAAAAATCAAACAACCCTATATATATTTGTTTATTTTAGGACTCCCAATTATATTCCATTTATATACATGTGTTCACCATTATGCCAGGCCCACAATGCTTTGATTACTGTAGCTTTGTAGTAAATTTTAAAATTGGAAAAAGTGATTCCTCCTCCTTTCCTCTTTCTAAACCTTTTTTTTTTCTTTTTCTTTCTTCTTTTTTTACAGTTCTAGGTCTTTTGCACTTCAGTATAAATTTTAGGATCAGCTTGTCAATTTCTGTAATCAAGTCAGCTGGGATATTGATAGACTGTGGGGAATATTTACATCAATTGGAGAAGTATCACCATCTTAACAATATTAAGTATTCTGATTCATTAAATTGGGCTCTCTTCCATTTATTTAGATATTTTTTTCTTGATATTTTCTAGTTTTCAGTGTACAATCTTGCATTTCTCTTATTTAATTTGCTCCTAAGTATTTTATTCTTTTTGGTACTATTGTAAATGGAATTATTTTCCTAATTTCATTTTTGGATTATTAATTGCAAGGGTACAGAAATACAATTGTTTTTTGTATATTCATCTTGTATCCTGCTACCTTGCTGAACTCATATTAGCCCCATTTTTTTTTTTCTCCTGTGGATTCCTTAGCAGTTTCCATATACCAGATCACATTACTGGCTAACAGACATGGTTTTGTTTTTCCTTTCCAATCTACATGCCTTTAATTTCATTTTCTTGCCTAACTGCTCCGCTACTAATGCTGAATAGAGTTCTTAAGAGTGGTATCCTCTTGTTTCTGATTATGTGGGAAAGTCTTTTAGTCTCTCACGTTGAGTACATTAGCTGTATTTTGTAGATGGCCTTTACCAGGTTGCAGAAGTTTCCTTCTACTCCTATTTTGTTGAGAGTTTTTATCTCGAAAGAGTATTGGATTTACCAAATGCTTTCTCTGCATTGCTGGGATGATCATGTAGTTTTTGCACTTTACTCCAGTGATAAGATGTAGTACAGTAATTGATTTTCCTTTATTGAACCAAGCTTGCATTCCTGGGATAAATCTCATTTGGTCATGATGTATAATCCTTTTCATGTTGCTGCATTTGGTTTCCTAGTTTGGCTGAACTTTTTGCATATACGGTCATAAGAGATATTGGTCCATAGATACTTTTTCTTGTATTTGTCTGGTCATCGTATCATTGTAATACTGGCCTTAAGGGATGAGTTGGGAAGTGTTCCTCCATCTACTATTTTTGCAAGAGTTTGTGAATGATTGGTGTTCATTCTTATTCAAATGTTTGGTAGAATTTAGTAGGGACGTTATCTAGGTCTGGGCTTTGTCTTGCAGGAAGTTTTTGGCTTACTGCTTCAATATCTTTACTTGTTTTATATATTTATTCAGATTTTCCATTTACTCTGGTTTCATATGTGGTATTTTGTGTTTTGCTGGAATTTGTCCATTTCATCTAGGTTATCCAATACGTTGGCATTCAATTATCCATAAATTTCCCTTATACTTCTTTTTAACTTCAGTAAGGTCAGGAGAAATGTCTCCTCTTTCATTCCTGATTTTAGTAATTTGAGTTTTCTCTTTTTTTCTTCATCTATCTAAAGGTTTATCAACTTCCTTTAACTCTTCAAAGAACAAACTTTTGGTTTGTTGATGTTCTCTATTAATTTTTTATTCTCTATTTCATTTATCTCTATTCTAATCTTATTATTTCCTTCCTTCTGCTTGGTTTGGATTTACTTTGTTGTTCTTTTTCTTGATTCTTAAAGCAGAAGGTAGTTGATTGAAGATCTTTCTTTTTTAACATAGGCGTTTACAGCTACAAATTTGCTTCTTAGCACTGATTTAGTTGCATCGCATAAACTTTCCTTGTTGCGTTTTAATTTTCATCCATCACAAAGTATTTTCTAATTTTGTCATTTCTACTTTGACTCAGATTATTTAAAGGCGTGTTCTTTAACTTCCACATATTAAACTTTCCAAATTTCTTTCTCTTATTAATTTGTCATTTCAGTCTATTTTCAGAGACTACACTTTGTATGATCCAGTCCTTTTAAATTCACTGAAACTTTTTATAGCCTATTATATGCTCTATCCTGAAGAATGTTACATATCTACTTAAGAATAACGGATATCCTGTCGTTTTCTGGACAGAGTTTTCCACAGAACTGTTTTAGGCCTAGTAAGGTTATAATTTTGTTAAAATCTTCCAATGCCTTCATGATTTTCTGTCTAGTGGTTCTATTACTGAATGTGAGATGCTATAGTCTCCATCAATGCTAGTTGAATGCTCTATTTTTTCCTTCATTCTGTTGAGTTTTTGCTTCATATATTGTAGATCTCTTTCGTTGGGTGATATATATTTATTATTGTTATATCGTATTGACGGATTGACCCTTAAGCAATTTTTGTCTTAAGTCTATTTTTTCTGATATTAGCAGAACCACTCCAGCTCTCTTTTGCTTAAACTTTGCATAGTTTTATCTTTTTCCATCCTTTATTTTAACCTATTTGTGTTTTTGTCCCTAAAACGTGTTTCTTACAGTTAGAACAAGCTTTTTACTTTTAATCCTTTCTGCCAATGTTGGTCCTTTGAATGGAGTGTGTACTCAGTTTACATTTATTGTAATTTCCGACAGAATTTATGCCTGAAATTTTGATACTTATTTTCATATGTTTTAGGCTTTTTTCTCCCCTCTATTTCTTAATTATTGCCTTCTTTGGTGTTAAATAGATATGTTCTAGGGTATCATTTGATTTCCCTTGTTTCTTTTGCTATATAATTTTTTTTAGTTATTTTTAATGGTTTCCTGGGAATTACAATTAACATCTTACTCTATAACAATCTAAATCAGATTAATACCAACTTAATTAAAATAGTATAAAAATCTAAGCTCCTGAATAGCTCCATCCTTTCTCCAAGCCATGATAATTTGAACGCTTAAAAAAAGTAACAGAAGAGGGAGCTCAAACACCACAAATTTTAAAAGGGTGTCCAGAATTTTGACTCCATTCTCCAAACTGAGGAAAACTAATCTCAAATATAAATGACCAAAAAAAAGCCCAAAGTCAAGTTCCATACAAGAAATTAAATACTAAAGTTAATGACCGGTATAGAGACAATATAAATACATCTAAAACAAATGCCCTGAAAACAGGTAAAAACTACCATACTATTAAAAAACAGGCTAAAAGGCAAGAAAATACTTTGAGATATAAAAGATCATAAATGTGAATTAGAAGAACTCAGAATTAGGTAATAGAGTTCACAAGCAAATTTCAAATAAAGGAAAAATAAAGAATACCAACCTAGAAAGAAATATGAGAATAAATCTAACAGATAAATGTTAATGCAAAAATGAATAAAGAAATATTTGGATACGAAAAGGATACAAAAATTGAGTACCAAGTAAATCTATAGTTGTTTGATATAGACTTCCTTATAAGTCTTATAATTAATGAAAAGGTAAAAATGCTTTTTAAAAAACGAAGATGAAAAACTTCAATCAGATTAGGGATCCTAACTATTCTTAGAAAACAATTCTGGGCCGGCCCCGTGGCTTAGTGGTTAAGTGCACATGCTTCGCCACTGGCGGCTCGGGTTCGGATCCCAGGCGTGCACCAACACACCGCTTCTCTGGCCATGCTGAGGCTGCGTCCCGCATACAGCAACTAGAAAGATGTGCAACTATGACATACAACTATCTACTGTGGCTTTGGAGGAAAAAAACGGAAGAGGATTGGCAACAGATGTTAGCTCAGAGCCAGTCTTCCTCAGCAAAAAGAGGAGGATTAGCATGGATGTTAGCTCAGGGCTGATGTTCCTCACAAAAAAAAAAGAAAACAATTCTATTCTCCATAATGAACCACAAAATCTTATAGGATCTGATCCTTCCTAACATACTAGCTTCACACCGTTAGTCACCACTTACTAACTCTGATCCACATGCACTCCTCAAACACACAAACCACATTCCCCTTTGAGGGTCTTTGTATGTGTAACTCACTCTCCTTGGAATGTCCTTGCTCATATACTCAAAAAGCCTGAGCCCTCACTTCATGTCTCTGCACAAATGTTACCTTCTCAGAAAAGGGTTCCTGACCACACTACCTTACCTAAATTTGCCGTGTTCTTCGTTAGTGTCCCTCATAACATATTTCACTACCTGATATTCTTTATCTATTTGTTTGCATGTTTATCACTGCCTTAACATAGTATAACCCCCACTACTGCAGAAACATCATCTGCCCTATATAGTATTACTGGATTGACTGTGCCAAGCACAGTGCCAGGCTCTCAGTACTCAAATATTTGCCAGATACAGGAATTAATGTATCTTCAGACAACGGATTCACACTGAAAAAGATGATCTGGAAAGAATTTGGGTCCACAATATGTACAGGTAAAATGGCTACACTGTGGAAAAAGGAGAATGTCTAACACTAAATTGGGAGGGAAATATGAGAAAAATAACATGATGAATGGTTAATGAGGTTAAGATGAAGTTCACTGGGTATGTCATACTGAGATATTTCCTTTCCCCATTACAAGCCTTTTCTTCACTGAGAAGGGAGCTTTCTAACCAATGTTTGACGGATGTGTTTACCAAGTGTGTTCACCATTTGGGCTACCACTTACAGAGATGACTTCTCCTGCCTGACTTGCTCTTTCTTACCTGGACACCATCTTCTCGTTTCTTCCCTTAAAACCATCCAGGGCTCCTTTCCTTGCTCCAATAAGGTAATTACATCTGGCTTAGAAATGGAATGGCCTGCTCACAAAGAAAAAAAATTGCATACTATGAGAAATAAATTGTCACTAGTCAAGTTAAAATTATAATTATAATAATCAAAAGATCATAATGATAGTATTTTAGAGAAAAATGAGAGAAGTAAAGAACAAGAGATCTGTTAGGTAAGGTAAAGTTTTTGTTTTACTGTTTGTTTAAAATTTAAACTCCCGTGTCCTCTAACTCTATAAAGTAACCAAGTTATTGAAAATACACTCTGGAGGCTGGGATTAATTCCTGTCTTTGCCACCTTCCAACTGGGTATGACCTATGGCAATTGACATAAACCCACTATACCTCAGTATTCTCACTTACAAAGTAGGGGTAATAATAGCACTATTGAGTGGATTAAATGAGTCAAGACTCCCAGTTATTTTAATCAGTTAAATCAGATAATGTGCTTCAAGTACTGACTACTACACAGTAATCACAATGTTAGCTATTAACATTATGATTGTTAGCTATTAACATTATGATTGTTATGCTCTTATGTTACCAGAGTACAGAAGAAGAGACAGCTATGAGATATTCATTCCATTTTAAATGTAATTTTCATGGATTACAACTTGCAACCACAAATCAGAGGAACTTTGTCTAAGGAAACAGACTGCTTTTGGTACAGTTTTAAATGAATTCCAAATATCCAATCCAACACCACATAAACTGAAGAGGCTCTTCTGATAATGAGAGCAACTGAGGACCCTCTGTCAAGCAGATATCTCTAAAATTGGACCAGACAATAAAATGGAGTATGACAGCAATTTGAAGGACAAATGAACAAGAACCTTGGATCCTTTGACAATGATTTTACAATACATGCCACAGATTTCTAATGTAGCCGCTTGATCACTATGCAAGAGAAGCAAAGACAAAAAAGAACAGAGGGAGGTAAAAATGTTACTGAGGGGTAGGGAGGATGAAGGTGTTTAATGGAGTTGCCATTTCTAACCCTGACAAAACTCAAACTTCTTTTTGGGGAAGAGGGAAAACAAATTTAACTAGTTCCTTGAAAGGCAGCCCTGAAAATCGCAGTGGAAAAAACACATAGCCTATAGAGCAGATTCTAAATTAACCTAAACTATTTGAAGCTGATAAACATACCCAGTGAGACCAAGTTTCTATAGTTCTCCAGCATCACATCCCGGTACAAGTCCCTCTGAATAGGGTCCAGGTATTCCCACTCCTGCCGAGAGAAGTCTATGGCCACATCACTGAACGTCAATGATCCCTGGAACAGTAAATACACGTATTACAGGGGAAATTAAAGAAAACATGTTGAGGGGCTGGCTCCATGGCTTAGTGGTGAAGTGCGTGCGCTCCGCTACTGACGGCCTGGGTTCGGATCCCGGGCGCGCACCAACGCACTGCTTGTTGGGCCATGCTGAGGCCGCGTCCCACATACAGCAACTAGCAGTGTGTAACTACAACATACAACTATCTACTGGGGCTTTGGGGAGAAAAAGGGGAAAAAAAAAAAAAAAGGAGGAGGATTGGCAATAGATGTTAGCTCAGTACCAGTCTTCCTCACCAAAATGAGGAAGATTGGCATGGATGTTAGCTCAGGGCTGATCTTCCTCACAAAAAAAAAAAAGAAAAGAAAATATGTTGAAAGTGGGAGCAGAGGAGATGAAGGACTTCT